TCTAATTCTAGGGATAAGATAACATTGAAAAAGGATGAAAGTCAAAGCTGGTAACCTGTCAAATTCAGAGACAAAAAAGACGTAATTATATTCTCGTGGGCTGATGCATGGAATTTTGCAATGAATGATTTCGTCAATCGGGTTGTCGCGGTCATGACCTAGATATTCCGCAGGCGAAACAATACGCTTAGGGGAGGAGTTGGTGAATGATGACAAATGGGTTTAGGGGTGGAATTGACGCTTTTTAAGAGAATTGAAGTACTAAGAAAAATTTGCCTTTTGCTCAGATAGGTAGAGAAATAGAAATGACGTCTCTTTGGTTGGTAGATAAAACGGAAAAATAAGCTGACTCAGTTGATGAAAGAGGAAACTTGATATTGACTGTTGCATCAATAATTCAAGGACACAAGTGGTTTGACATGAGTCGAGTCACTGGGTACAAAATCCAATTATTCTCTTCCTCCCCCACCCTATTGACATCTGTCTTCTTCTCTCTCGTCTCCAGTTCTTTCTTTTTTCATTTCAAGTTTTTCCTAACGGACAATATATAAGAGAAACAACCGATAAAGTAGGTAGGAAAATGAAAGTACGATGTTATTTATTCAGGGATACTAATGATTCTGCGTGGTCACTGATCAATGGTGCATACTATTATAGTGTGCTTGTTGATCCGGCGAGATATCGCGAGAGGGCAATGAAAAATATTACAACCTAAAATTAGAAGAAGTCGCTGCGTCTCATCTCTTTCATAATTCTTCTCTGAGGAGATCTCCGTATCTAGTTACTCGACTTCCAGCGAAAATGTCATAGTGCTTTATAAGTTCACCTTCTGTCAAGAACTTATCCTGCAAATAAACAAACAAAAAAAAGCAAATACACTTCAAATGTTTGATTTGAATATAGGTCAGTTTAAAGACAATACTACATCGCATGTTGACAAAGCATTATTTACATATTTTGTTTGTTTGTCGCCACGTATATGTCACTTTAACCTTAATTTATCCTAACAGTATGCAGTGCGCATGTCAGATATAAACTAACCATGCTGCTGACTTCACCTCAATATGAATTAAAAAAATACTCTTCATTGAAGCAATCTTAAGAGTGCTAGGTGTCAATCAAATCCTTACCTTGTCGTCATCGCCTGCCTTCATAAGATGTTTTGCCTCGACTTGTATAGGATCGCCATGCTCGCCGGGAAGGATCCATGCTCGAATCTCACTCTGCAGGTATACAAAGAAGAAAACCGATAAACATTCTCCACCACACCTTTAACCTCGGGGAACTACGTATAGGCTTACATATATAAAAAATTCAGCCTCATTTTTTTTTCAAGTTTATAATTTGCAATCCTTAACTATTCTTGTTTTTGAATGATATCTTCTTGCCTTTTTGGAATTTTTGTTTCTATTTGAGTAAACTCATATCCTAAGGATTTATACTTCTCAACGAGAATTATCAACGGCCTCCCCCCCGGATAAAAAAAAAAACAATTCCATAATATGGCGAAAACAACTCCTTATTGCATTGTAGGTCAGTTTATAGTGACAACGCTACATCTTTATACATGTAACTTCCTCGTTGCGGCACGAAACCTTTTCAGATTTTTGAGCGAACGCCTGAATATTTTTTTCTTATTGAAGACAATTTTCAACGGACCTAAAAGCCAACTCGAAAATATGATAAACCAACCCCAAGTCTCTGTAAAGTAATCTAATTCGTCATATAGAAGAGAACAGAAAATACCGATTTGCAACCCCTACAATGACGTAACTCGAGAAAAGACACACCCTATCAAGAAATCCATCCTTGTCCGAGTCTAGTTCTTTACTGAAACTCTTTTTGAGCACTTCTATGGTTGTCTCAGTAAGCCTTTTCGCTTCATCACCTGTTGTGATAAATCAGTGAAAAAAAGGCAATAATATTACTTTCGTATGATGCACGATCCTCGCAGTAGAGAGCGCTATTTATGCAATAGCGAAAATCAGACCTGAAAAAAATCAGGCCTGTATGTGCGGAATTCGAATCACTGACCTCTGCGATACTAGTACAGCGCTCTACCAATTGAGCTAACAAGCCAACTGGGAGCAGGCCGTTAAGTTGATTCGTAATAAACCCGTGATGATAAATCAAATACGATAAATGTATAAAATTCATATATTTTGACTTGCGGTATTAGATACGTATGATGCACGATCCTCGCAGTAGAGAGCTATTTATGCAATAGCGAAAATCAGACCTGAAAAAATCAGGCCTGTACGGGATTCGAACCACTGACCTCTGCGATACTAGTGCAGCGCTCTACCAATTGAGCTAACAAGCCAACTGGGAGCAGGCCGTTAAGTTGATTCGTAATAAACCCGTGATGATAAATCAGATACGATGAATATATATATCTTTTCGTGGGAAATAGACTACTCGACCCCACAAAGTCACGAGTCAAGTTAAAAATTAACTTTGCGCTAATTGTGATTGGTCGAAGGGCTTCGTGGCAAATTCAAACTAAAATTAGACTTGTCTTTGGAAACACGATGACATAAACAAAGGGCAGTTCAACGCTCCAAGTAATGGGCTCCCACTAAGCACAATGGTCATGATGTCAGCAGGCTAAAAACAGAACAATCGATCCTGAGTTTGTTCTAAGACTCCCGGTTAGCTCAATTGGTTAGAGCGCCGGATTGTGTTGTGCGGGAGGGCGAGGGTTCGAGCCCTAGCCGGACCAATACTCATGGTCTTAAAATAAGTGAGGAGAATTTGCTACCTTTCTATAATCAAGAAATGGATAGATATTCTAGTCTTCTCGGACAAGGACGAATAAACCGTAGGCCCCTTCTCCTGCAGGGTTAGGGGTAGGAGACGTTAATTTCCCACGCACGAGATTACTGTGTGGTGGATGTCCTGGGATGGGTGGGTGTTGGCCTTGAAAAGCCCCTATGGGGAGTGGTCAATTAACCTATGTAGGTATGTATGTAGGTATGTATGTATGTATGTATGTATGTATGTAGGTATGTATGTATGTATGTATGTATGTAAGACTGTGGCTGAAAACCAAGCAACACGAGAACTAATTGATTCCACAGATTTAGCCATCCATAATGCGCAAAAGATTGTATGTTGTACGGCTCATCTAACATGGAGAAAAACACGCCTCTTCGCACGGGAGAAATAGATTCAGGAAAAAAATTCATACATATATGTGAAGATATCCTTATAGAATAATGAAATGAACAGGCTAACACACATACATACCAATGTATTCATCAGCGGATATTTTCCCGTCTTTGTTCGTGTCAAAGATATCCAAACTTTCCTGACAAAGCAAAATACTGAACATGTTAAATTTTTGAGTACGATAAAATCGTGAAAAAATATACACCAATTAAAAAACAAATCACTCGATTCGCAGTTTTTACCCGCCCTTTGTACGAGTCACGTGACACTTACCTCAATAAGGTATGTGGTCATCCTTTTGGATTCCTCGGGGTGAAGGAAAAGTGAGAATTCTTCACGGGACAGCTCTTTATCGTTGTCTGTGTCAGCAAAGTCAAACCGCTTCTTTTCACGTGAAACTAATTCCCTGAATTCTCCAAGAACTTTCTCGTCGAGGCCTTCAATAGATAAAACGAAGGCCTGTTCAAATCCAACTGCGTGGAATTTGGGACCTCCGGAACAGTTCCGGTGTGGAGGCAAATTTTTTTTTTTTTTTTCACCAGGAACCTCAAAAATTCAAACCAATTAATGAACGATAGACTAATTTCATGTTTATTCCAAAAGGAATAAATGTTTCCTTAAAAGGATACATACATACATATACTTTATTTAATCTCGAATTTGGAGTAGCTAAAGAATAAGCTAGTATCTTCGAGTTACAAGTATAATTCTAAATACTACTAAAATGTAAAATGTAAAATGTAAAATTGTAACATTCTAAAATTTAACTATGAGAAAGAGTCATACTGTAGAATCTTGCGCTTGAAATCAGAAAAGTCAGACGTTCTAAAAGAGTCCGGAAGAGAGTTCCATAGTTTTGAAGCCATATATGAAAAGGAGTGAAGACCATAAGTAGTAGTTTTTGTAGACGGTAGAGACAAAATATAATTTCCGTGTAGATTATAGGATACAAATTATAGGATGAAATTCCAAATTGAATTTCTCACCTTTTTCATGAGACGACGGGTACTGGGTCTCTATGTATTCTTCCCATGAAACCTTGCCGTCCTTGTTCGTGTCAATGTCGCGCATTTTCACATCAGCCTGGCGCAACACATGTTTTTTCATGTGCTGTTCAATCCATTCGTACAGCTCAGGAATTGAGATTTTCTTGTCCCTATCGACATCTATTTTTGGGAACAGTTCCCTGTTACCGAAAAGTGAAGAAAATCGCCTATCACTTAAGAAAACTAGAAAACTTAGATGAAAATTTTATTGATGAATTAGAAAAGAAATTGTTATTGAGAGAATGGAAACTCCCCCCCCCCGTCCCCCCAAGGATGAGATTGTTTCATTATCATATGGCTCTTAATTTCATTTGAATTAATCTTTTTTTAATTGCAATATAATGAATCATTTATTGACAAACGCCCTCTCGGTCACGATAGCAGCATATTGGCGTTTTTTGGCGCTTTCATAAATGGAAATGATTTTAACCGAACAAGTGTGGCCAAAAGCCCATACATAATGACTTAGTAAGTTGACATGGTAACGTCTATCCGGCTCACGGCGTGTCATCATAAATCAACCGCAAAGGGTAATGACGTAAAAGTTTTTAATCTACGTCACTTTCAAACCGCGTATTGGAAAAGTTTAAAAATTAAAAAATGGCCTCTGGCTATTTTGTGGTTAGGACACAAAGCTCTTGCCATCGAATGGATGGGAAAAGAGTACTTCATCATGAGTCAGCATCACAGAAAGTGGCGGAACTTGAACTGATAGAATATTACCCTTCTCCAAGGTCTGTTAAGATTAGGTTTCTAGCTCAACACAACCGCTTTATTTTGCATGCGTTTCCTATATCAGCCATTTTTAAAAATGGGTTAGGGTTAGGATTAATCATTTGTTTTTATCCATTTAAATATTCCAGTCAAATGTAGTGCGACCACTTCTGTGGGACATAAATCAATCAAAAAGACGTAAACTTAGAATAATGCTTCCAAAACCTTTATCTACAACACTCTATTTATGGGAGGTTTTTTTCTAGTCGCGAAGGCGCCCCCTCACTACATGTGCCACTATACCGAAAATTTTTAATGTTTTCTTCATACTAGTGGTGAAATTTTCCAACAGTAGGAAAACAAACTTATTAGTTGTTTAAACAGTGGTAGTAACAAAGCAACAAAGCTACTTACGAGAGTTTTTCCATCACTTCATCAGCGGGTAGATCGCGCCATTCCGAAGATAGCTCTCGGCCGAGAAAAGCTTCATGGTCGTATTCAAGATTATGTTCCTCGTCTTTGTAATGTTTTTTATCCGATATAGTGGGTACCGACGGGTATCTCAGTTTAGTGGCCGACACATTGAATGCGCATACACAGATCGAAACAAAACTTATAACGCTGAGGCCTCGAAGCATTCTGAACCGCGTGGACGAACGAAAATTACGAGCTCAACTGAGAGACGGATTGTCAAATGATGTACGCAATGAATTTTTTCTGAGTGTTCTCGAATTTAAAGGCTCCAGATATGGTTTCATGTAAAGCCACGTTTCTTAAAATATTGGACGATGCGCATCCTTCCGTTATGTGGACTGTCAGTCAAACATATTAGTGCCACGATATAACACTGTACAACCCGTATGACAAAAGTACTTAAAAAATTATAACTCCCTCATAATTCCCTTGAAACACGGAATACCTCCTCCAGAAATATTCGTATTGCGAACTTAAAAGTCAAATCCAATAATTCTCTTCGAAATTTTCATCAGAATTTGTCTTTAAACTTCAAAACTTTCTTGTTCTACATCTCTCACGGTTGCCCGTCGAGTTTATAAACAAGTGGATATCTTAACATACACGAAAAATGTTCACCGAGCCATTTATGACCAAAGAAGCATTCCAATATCAATTTAGTATACTCTGCCTACACAAAGGGTCTTGAATCAGCTACTCAGTCTAGCGTGTAATCTGTAAAGCTAAATTTAAGCTGGACTGATATTGGATTGTTTGTTGTTAGACAAAGTACTTGAATGCGAGCACTGCCACTGTTTCCGGCCAAGCGTAGTGACTGGCTGTTTAGCCAAAGATCTTAAAATGTATGCCATAACCAAACAAAACCTTGTAAAAAAAAAGAAAAACTTGCACGCCAAATTTTTTTAATCCGTTATTTTACCCTGTGTTTTTTGTTTGTTCGACTTTAATTTACATGTGTTTTTGCTTCCAGTGTATTGAATCGTTTCTTTGTTTTCATACATGATGATTCACTAACGAATTTTGATATGACAGATTATCACAGGGAACGTACTTACTCGGAATTATTTGCAAAGTGGAGACTATGGGGGTGGGGTGCAGAGGATAAGAGATAGAGAAATACCTTCAGATTACTCTTGGACAGAAGGAACACAGAATTCTGTTTATTGTAACGTAGTTCTTTAACACCTGATTTTGGTGACTGTGCTAACAGTTTAAAATACATTAACATAAATCTTCCTTAACCAGTGACGCTTTGTTACTACAGTGCTTAAAGACGAATGGGGTTTTTCTTATAGTTTCGTTTGAAATAACTTATATTTGCGAAACGAAGTTTGACTGTGTTGTAGTTCTTCGCAGACTTCTCTACACCTAACATCTACGTAACCGATGATTCCCGATTTTTTCTATCATCATTTTCATTCAAAATAATTAAAAAAAATTTTGCAAAATGATTGAACTGTATTCAATTTTATAATTTAACTTTGTTCTGTATAAGGAACTTAATAGACAAACACTTTTGGAGTCAAAGAGAGAAAGAACAACAAAAATATTGTATTTCTAAAGTTCATCCTTCGCCTTTTCAGCCGTTTCGTTCTTTTTCTTTTCACTTTCCAGAATATCATTAAATGTCTGGAACAGAGCGAGATTCTTGAGAATTTCGTCATCAGTGATAGCGCCATCCTACAAAGATAAAGAGATATTACATTATGAGAATCTAAAATACTATATCTACTCCGATAAGCGCCCACGATCAAATAACTACACTCCTCCAAACAAGCGCCCATCCTCCCAGGCCAATATTTCAAACAAGCGCCCCCCTTGAATAAGCGCCCACCCACCTGGGCTAATATATTCAACAAGCGCCCTCCTTGAACAAGCGCCCAACCCCCCTAAGCCAATATTTCAAACAAGCGCCCCCCTTGAATAAGCGTCCACCCCCCTGGGCAAATATATTCAACAAGCGCCCAACCCCCCTAAGCCAACATATTAAACAAGCGCCCCCTTGAATAAGCGCCCAACCCCCCTGGGCTAATATATTCAACAAGCGCCCTCCTTGAACAAGCGCCCACCCCCCTAAGCCAATATATTAAACAAG